TTAGAGTATCTGAATTACTTTGAGCTTGGTCCAGCCTCCTGCCCAGGCATACTGCTCTGTATATTCTCATAATGGATCTGTGTCAGGTACTGTAATAGTTGTTTCTCTGTCTCCTTGTCCTAAACTCTGAGCTCCTCAAGTGCAGAGACTTTATCTGTCACCTCTGCCCCCTGAAGAAATGTTTTGTTTTCTACAGTAGGAATCTTTAAAAGGCTAGACACATTGTTCACATAGTTTAGTACTTTGTAGACAGTCAGAAAATGACTTGCTGATTGATTTTTTAGCTGAGTGGTCTATTAAGTAAATAAAAACAGATCCAATCTGCTTTTTTCTTCTCTGTTGTTGATCTTCTTGTTTTGGATGGTTGCTTCGTGTAGTGTGTGTGTGTTGGGAGGGCTGTACCCTGCCACTTCCTACTGCTTGCCTATTGCTCTGTACTCTACCTCTATTTGGCTGTCCCCCACCTCCCCCGAATTCTCCATCCCCCAACTGCCAAAACCAATCCAACTGAGGCTTCCTAAGTCCCTGCCAGCAATCCTGTGCCAGAACCACAGGCAGAGGCAAAGGCTGTGTGTGACTGGGAGAATAAGGCAGCTTTTCCCGACACGAAAAATCTGAGGACATGGATCCTGGTCCTACTGGACTAATTTTGGGACGACCTTGAATATTTTACTTACTAGTTACTACAGTTACTTACTGTAATAAAACCTGTCTGTGCATCCGGCTGGAAACACTATCTAAACTTTTATCCTATTTTTTAAAAGCGTTTTGCTTCCATATAAATGACCTGTTATTAAAACACACATAAGTTATCTGGGGAATATATCTACTTAAAGACACACTAATGTTTAAAGAGCCATGACTATTTGAAAACAGGAAAACCAAATTTTAGTGAAATTTCCATATATTGGGAACCACTGAGATATAACAAATTACTACTAATTAGATAATACAGCAAAAGTTTTAACTCACTTTAAAGAATACGTTAAGTTCTAAAATTATCTCCACATGTGCTCTGGTTACCTATTATCCATTAATTGGTCTCCTAAAAAACATTCTATTTGAGCAGTCCTTTAATTATCTTAAAGCGAGATAATAAAAGCATTAAAGGAAGTATTTGTTCAGTTTTGCCAAACTTTTTACAAGTCTCTTCTGTTAGCACTCACCCATGTAGTCCAGGTTAGTAATATTTTAACTGATTGGATCTGTCAGTTGACAGAGCTACTGATAGTTGACAGAGCTGTAAGTGTTTTTCTAGCTGGATGCACAGACTCACATACCTCTTAAGCAGTATGTTTAAGGTTTACAGTGATTTCAGTGCTCACCCATCAGTACTTCTTCTCCCCACTTTAGTCTGCCCTGTCAAAAAACTGCATCAAGCTTTTGTGTGAAGATCCTGTTTTTGCAGAATATATAAAATGTATCCTAATGGATGAAAGAACTTTCCTAAACAACAACATTGTCTACACATTCATGACTCATTTTCTTCTAAAGGTATGTTGTACTTTGAAAACTCAGTGTTACTTCCAATTAATGGTTGTGTTTCCATTATGTTGGTCTTTTGGAGATTTCTTTAATCCCCTTTTTTTAGGTTCAAGGTCAAGTGTTTTCTGAAGCAAATTGTGCCAATTTGATCAGCACCCTTATTACAAACTTGATAAATCAGTATCAGAACCTGCAATCTGATTTCACCAACCGAATTGAAATGTCCAAAGCAAGTGCTGCATTAAATGGGGTAAGAACTGTGGAAGGGAGCATCATGTACTTCAGAACTTACTTAAATCAATTCTAAATTTGATCTTACTGTGATTGTATTATGCCTTTATTATTCAAACTCTAGAAGTCAAATATGAAAAACTAATCGAAGTTTTCAAAATTTGTTCATTTTGCCTTTTATGTATATAAGACACACTTTGAAATACATGTTTTTTAATTTTTAAGGAATATCAATTTAACAACGAAACACTGATTGCCTGCCTCCTAGATGTCCCCTAGTGGGATCCAGCCTGCACTGGGGAAGTTCCCTGAGCAGGAATCAAAACCAGCAACCTTTCATTGTACACAGGACGACACCCAGTCTAGCCACACTGGCCAGGGTGCACACACTTTTACAACCTTAGAAGACATGAGCTAATGTCATTAAATGCCTATGACCCCTAAAAGACATTTCCTTTATTTCTACTTGTTTACATTTTTTTTAAACAATTGTGATTTTTCTATTGCTCATCAATGAGATTAATAATCTATTATGAAGCCAGTTAAAACTAGGGAGTTAGTAAGTTGCCTTACGTAAGCTCCCATGATGGCCATGCCATAGAGTGAAGGAACCTCCTGGAAACGTGCTGGCATGTCGTCTCCAGCAGAGCCTCTCAAGGAACAAAATGCTGGTGCCAGCAGATTGGAGAGATGAGGGAGAAGACCTTACTGTTTTTCACATATTTAAGAAACTGATTTCTCGATTAATCACTAAATTTCTCACATATCAGTCAGGGTTTGTTTTTAAATTCCTATGTAAGTTCTATTTTTCTTTCCCCATTTTCAGAAAACACTATTTGAGTCTCTGGTCTTTTTAAATGATGTGCTGTATAGAATAATGGTATTAGTTACTTAGGACTGATGAAATATAGTATCATAACATTGGCTTTCTAGTTGCAGCATTCTTATAAAAATGCCAGAGAAGCCAGGGTAGATTCCTGGAAATGTAAATGTGTGCATTGAACTGTGAACAAAGTCTTTCAAATGTTGGATTTAGAATTTGAAATGTTTATGTACGGATTGTTGCAGGATCTACGGGCACTTGCTTTGCTCCTGTCGGTACACACTCCCAAACAGTTAAACCCCGCTTTGATTCCAACTCTGCAAGAGCTTTTAAGCAAATGCAGGACTTGTCTGCAGCAGAGAAACTCACTCCAAGAGCAAGAAGCCAAAGAAAGAAAAACTAAAGGTGAGTGTTATGGACCAGAGTTAACTTTAGGCTGGGAGGAGGAAATACACTTGTTGTAACTGACCATATACTAGTTCTTTGTTCACATGGGCCTCCTATATGTGAATGCTGTATAAAAGAAATTTTCCATAAACACATCCTCCCTTGGTGTGATCTTAGTGGCTCCTTTCACAGAAATGGGTTTTGATGTCCTCACAGATGATGAAGGGGCGACGCCTGTTAAAAGAAGGCGTGTCAGCAGTGATGAGGAGCACACTGCAGACAGCTGCATCAGCGACATGAAAACAGACACCAGGGAGGTCCTGACCCCAACCAGCACTTCAGACAATGAGACAAGAGACTCCTCAATTATCGACCCAGGAACTGAGCAAGATCTTCCTTCCCCTGAAAATAGTTCTGTTAAAGAATACCGAATGGAAGTTCCCTCTTCGTTTTCAGAAGACATGTCAAATACCAGGTCACAGCACGCCGAAGAACAGTCCCACAGTGGTAGGTTTGAAGAGTGTAAAGAGTTCAAAGACCTCCACTGTCCCAAGGATTCTAACTTAGCTGAGGAAGAATCAGAGTTCCCTTCTACTTCTATCTCTGCTGTTCTGTCTGACTTAGCTGACTTGAGAAGCTGTGATGGTCAACCTTTGCCCTCCCAGGACCCTGAAGCTGCTTTGTCACTCAGTTGTGGCCATTCCAGAGGACTCTTGAGTCACATGCAGCATCACGACATTTTAGATACCCTGTGCAGAACCATTGAGTCTACAATTCACGTGGTCATAAGGATATCTGGCCAGGGAAGCCACGCTGCTTCTTGACATTAGATGTAGCATGTCTACTTTTAAGGACCCCCGGCTCCCCAATGCTGTTTGTATAAGTTTTGCTTATTTCTGTTTTTGTGCTTCAGTTTGTCCAGTGCTCTCTGCTTGAATGGCAAGATAGATTTATAGGCTTAATTCTTGGTCAGGCAGAACTCCAGATGAAAAAAATTTGCATCTTCAGTATACTTTCTAAAGGGCAATCAGATAATGGATATGTTTTATGTAATTAAGAGTTCACTGTAGTGGCTTTCATTTAATATGGCTGTCTGGGAGGAACAGGGTTCCCTGGCCCTGTACAATGTAATTTAAACTTACAGCATTTTTACTGTGTATAATATGGTGTCTTCTGTGCCAGTTTTGTACCTTATAATAGAGGCAGATTGCCTCCGATCGCTGTGGTTCTTATTATCAAAATTAAGTTTACTTGTATACGGAACAACCACAAGAAATTTGATTCTGTAAAGAATCCTCTTTAGCTGTGGCCTGGCAGTATATAAATGGTGCTTTATTTAACAGAATACCTGTGGAGGAAATAAAGCACACTTGATGTAAAAATAATTGTTTTATTTTTATTGACATGACTGATTGCTATTCTGTGCACTTAATTAAACTGATTGTGATTACTTTTCATTTGTTTACATACGTTGCTTCAGTCTTCTCAGATGAAAGAAATGAGAAAACTGTGAATGGGGGAAGCACTTACCGGTTGTATGCTATTGTGGCAGTCCAAAAGTAACTTATTCCCATAGACTTTCCAGTCCTTGCCACCCTGTAATGCTTACTGCTGCAGGGAGAAGTTTGACAATACAACCCACTCCTCTCACTTCAACATGCTTCTGAGTGCAACATGCCACTGTTTCACTAACCTAAGAGCTACCTGCCTTTAAAATCCCCAAGTAAATAAAGGAACTTCATCAACGTGCCAGCTATTTTTGTCTTCCTGAACTAAAACTACAGCAGAAAGTAAGCTTGCTGCTAGGAAACTTCATCAGTACTCAGGAATTCAATGTATTCCCAGAGGAGCATCTATGGGAGGTAAGGTTAAGTACTTAATTTCAGTGCTTGCTACTTCCTACAGTGCTTGCTACTTCCTATAGTCAAGATTCAAACAATGCTTTAAATTCTGTCAAGTTCATGAATGTCATCCAATATAAATTAAGATTTTTGTTTTCCTTTTTTAAAAGAAATGATAGGGAAGAAGTAACTTTCTGCTTACAAAAAGTAATGCTCTTGTAAAATCTTCTAATTCAACCATTTAGAGTGGTCAGCTGCAGTAAACCTTTTATTTCTTCAAAATGCTGCTTCTGCCAACAGAATTTCATGTTCTCTTCTTTACAGACAGGAACTCCTTTACAGTCCAACTGTAATTCCGTTTGCCCTGGAGTAGGCACAAAATTCAGTACAACTGTTGCATAGTGTTCTGGAAGAAAAAAAAGGAATCATCATGAAGAGGAAAATACATGAGTCACAGCTTTGAGTGTTCGGACTCTTACAACAAACAAACGGTACTAACAACATACCTTCTGGCCAGCTCCTACATCTCCATTTCATGACAATCTTTTCATTTGTTAACTGAAAACAAAGAGGAAGTTCTATTGAAAACATCTTTTTACATTTCCTGCAGTACTATACAGAAAAACAGCGAAGCCTGTCATTAAGCCCCTTATGTCCTACTAAAAGTTATCAGTGAACAACACAGAGTCCCACCTTCAGCTTAGGTGCCAAAACCATCGAGAATTCGTGGTCCCTAGTGTCAGATCTTACAGCAGTTAACGTCAGGACAAGTGTATAACACAGGTAACGGAACAGAACTGCTGACACTTGACACTGAGTCAGGTGGCAGAAAACTGGCTGTTCTAAGCCAAGAGCTGGGAGAATTATACGTCTAAAATCATAAGCATTTGCACAAATACTGTGAAATTAAGGCTTCAGCTTTCTCATATATAACATTTTTTATTTGCTTTACAACCAACTATATAAAGTTCTCAAGTTTCTGTGAGCTCAGTTAAAAGCCCATAGCAAGTAAAAAAGCAATGGTAATGGAAACGAGTCAGTCCCTTTACTTTTCTCTAACCATAGATTTCTTACCAGTTCTATGTATTCACCGGTGACATTCCCATCAAACATTTGGAATTTCCCTCCCTTTTCAGCTTCTAATATGGCAGGAGATTTAGAAAATTTTTGCACCAGCTAACGAAGAAAAACATAGACATTAGTTCAGTATAGAATAATTACTATGGTTTGAGATTTTTTTATTTTTATTTGTTAACCCTCACCTGAGGATATTTTTTCCATTGATTAGTTTTTATTTTTTGGAGTGGAAGGGAGGGAGATAGAATTTTTAAGTCCTAAATATGTAGCTTATAATTATTTACAGCTTTCTTTTCCTCACAGAGGGATAAAACTAAATTAATGTATCCCCTAATTGCTAATATATTCCCCCCTCCCAAATATTTCAGAAGCTACCCTAAAGACTTGTATCCCCACAATTCTAGATCTCTCTATTCAGAAAAATAGGAACATAAGGGAAACCAAAGAACCAGCTCCAGGTCTCAGTGTGACATCTTTTCTCAGGACCAGCGTTTAAGACCCTGGCTTGAGAAGGGACTTACCTCTTTCACAGTGAAGATGCTGTACAGCCGCTCTACGCCTGCGTCGAACAGCTCCGTCATATGCAGCGCCACAGTGGGGATCCTGACACCCAGTGGCGCCTGAATCTCAGGAGGTTCCAAAGGATAATTAGCATGCCAAGTTATAAAGTTCGTTAGATTTTAAAATTCAGTCTTCCTGTCTTACTACCCATTCCAGAAACAGCATGAGAAGGCTTTTTAGCACCACCCATCCTGGCCTTTACTAGAAACAGCTCATTATCCCTATAAGCTCTTTAGCTCTGTTCTTCTGGGCTATAGTTTAACACCCCAAGTCCTACTTGGACATATGAATGTGGCTTAAAGGGTATGGAGATAAGCAGATGAAGGACAATAGCACATAAGGACAGAGTATCAATTTACAACACTAGATTCTAAGAACAGGATTTAAAACCTTGCAATCTAAAAGTTTGGAGAGAAGGTTGGTCCTTGAACCTCAAAGTGACCTGGTTTTGAACTCTTTTGCTACAAAAGAATAGTGCCTTTAGAATAATCTTGAACAAAATTCAGTATCCCACAAAAAGGTATTTATACATTCCCTTCCATCAAAGATAAGAGTCTCATCATCCCCCTGCTCCCCCAAAAATATGGCATGGAGGCAGGGATGATAGTCCATCGTCGAAAGGCTGTTAGAGCTTTGAAGAACTTTCGCTAAGCACTACCTTACCCCTTCCCTACATATCGGCCACTTGAGCTCATACCTGCAATGTGTTCTCACTCAGTTTCCTTTTAATAGTCAATTCCTGGGTGGCAGCTGCTTTTGTTGGTAAAATCATTCCCATTGTAAATTCTACAAAGAAACATAGGAAATAGCTTTAATAAGGAACTTTTTTCAGCACCAACTGGCAGAAAACAAAAAAGTAAAAAGAATCCTAATCATTTTGAGAATTTTAAGAACATTACACATCTATATTATAAAAGCATAGTATGCAGATTGTCCCCTAGACCAGTTCAACCAGGGGCGAGCCAGCCAGAAGGGAGGGGGGCCAGCTGTGGCAGCACACAGGCAAGGGAAGGAAGGGAGTACCCGGCCGAGCCGCTAGGGACCCTCTAGTTTTTATACATAAAACGTGAGAGCAACAAATGCCTTATTTTTTCAAATGCCTCACTTTTATCCAGTTCTAGATAAAACAAAATTTTCAAATGTTCTTTTCCAAAAACCTTTTTAAAAAAAATACCTTGATTCCAGAGAGGAAGGGAGAGGGAGAGTGATAGAAACATCAGTGATGAGAACATTTCATTGATTGGGCTGCTTCCTGCACGTCCCATATTGAGAATCAAGCCTAAAACCTGGGGTGTGCCCTGACCAGGAATCAAACCATGACCTCCTGGTTCATAGGTCAACACTTAACCACTGAGCTACGCCAGCCAAGCCAAAAGCCTCATTTTTAAACAACTAATAGCTTTATGGCCTTCCTTTACTGTCAAAAAGGAACACTTTCATATTGCTTCACCACCACCTCACAAGCTTGGCCTCACGATGTTCAGGTCTGTGGACCGGTGGCAACCTCAAATCTATGCCAACACCTAGACACATACACAGCACAATCCAAGGATCCTATGCAGACAGGCCCTGTTGGCCACTGTCTGGCAAGTAACTTCTCTAGGGAAGAAAGCAATAACCTCACTTCCACACAGTGTAGACAGGAGTCACCTAGGTAAATCTCAACTACACCTGTACTACCTGCAGTCATTCATTCAACGAGTTATTAAACACCTGTGTGCCAGGCATGTGCTAGATGCTGGAGATACAGCTGTAAATAAGACAGACACCCTCTGTGCCCCCATGGAGTTTATGGTCTGGCAGAGAAGACAAGCATACAGATGAGTGATTATCATTCATTCCAGAAGACTTAACAGGCCTGTAGACAAAACGGTTCAAGTGGTGCACAACACTGACGATCACTAACTATGGTCTCACTCATGACTAGCTCTCAACATCCAGACTGCAATTCATCCTGCAGCCGAGCTGTTTCTGGAGCCTTAGATGGTAGCCTGACCTGCAAATCCAGAGCACAGTGCAGAGCGTAAGCAGGAAAGGGGCCCCGGTTCACAAGGGATGCCTTCTTTACCCGTCTTAAGTGCCTTCAGGTAATCTCCGAGGGCCTCCCTGACCTTGGCGGTGCCTGCAGTTTTCATAAGATCCTTCAGTACATCCCCATCTCCTTTCTTTTTACTCACATTCACCTACAAATCAGAAAAATACAAGCCTAAGAAAAATCTGGTCTGATGTATTCTTACAACATTGGGACAAATGGATGAGAGGGTAGGGGAAGATGACCATTAAGAGATGTGGCAGGCAGGATTCTCCCTCTGTTTGAGAAGATGGGAGGATTTTTAAATCAAGTCTCCATTGACTGTTGGCCAAATCTTGAATAGACTTCTTAGAATGGGAGCCCCTTAGTTGCACACAATTTCCTATGTGTGTGTATTACTCTGATGGAACCCATGGCTTCACCAGGGTCTGGAAATGCGCTGTCCAGCAGGCTCATTGCTAGCCGCCGCATGTGCTCCTAGGCACTCAGCGAGACGTGCTACATGTGTAAAGTAATGCACACCAGACTGGAAGGCTTAGTACAAAAAAAGAGAATGTAAAATATTCTCTAATAATTTTCATGTTAATTACATGTCTAAATGTTTTTATATATTGGATTAAATAACATTAAAATTAACTTTACCATTTCTTTTAACTTTTTTTAATATGGCTACTAGAAAACCTTAAATTCCATATGTGGCTTGCATTATATTTCTATTGAACAGCGCTGGTCTAGGACCCCAGAGCCAATCTATCTATAAAAGCCAGCGACCAGAAAGCCCTGACTAGTTGCCATGATGCCCACTGCGGCCAGCAAACCAGCCCTGTTGGGGGGTGGAGCTCATGGCCAACCTCCTGGGACCCTCCCCCCAGCCGGCCCTGCCCCATAGGCCTTTCCCATCCCGATCTAGGGTGGGGCAGCCAGCCAACCCCCCTGCAGCCCTTTCCCCAGGCCAGCCCCATCCCTGATGGGCCCCCACCGCCCCATTGGCCCACAACCCTGCCCCTGATTGCCACCCCCCTACCCTAATAGGGGGAGGCCAGCTGGCCAACCTCCTGCTGTCTCCTCCTCCCGACAGGCCGGCCCCATGGGCCCAGACCCCACCCGTATACAAATTCGCGCAGTGGGCCTCTCGTGTAATTAGGAAAAACAACTTCCCACATCATATGGCCTTGAGCTACACATTTCTGGCTGGGAGTAGAGTTGGGAAGGGGAGAAGAAAAGAAGGGAGGGAGGAAGGAAAGGAACGTGGGAGACAGGGAGAAGGAAACATCAAAATGCTGCTCTGGGGATGCTTCTGGTATTCTCAGAATGAAGAGCTCTGCTGGTTAGAACTCATTTAGTGTTCCTATGATTCAGGTGAGCTGGGTCTGTCCCAGGCCAGGTCCCATCCAAAGAGGAGTTCTATAATGCTACCAGGATTGAATCTAAATGACCAGTTTACTGGGCTGATGAAAAATTTCTCAGCTGATGGATCTGATCATCATGAAGTGAAACCAGCCCAAGTATAGCAACCTCATGTCTGAAGATATGTCAGAGGCAGCCCCTCTTTCCTGGCACTTTATAAACTTCAGTAAAGGCAAGTCAGAGGCTGTTGCCTAGTATACTTGAGTTTTTATATCTTTGAAAGCCTTCCCACTGAATAATTTCACATAACAAAAAAGACATTTTGTCAAACTATTTGGTTTGGAAAATATAGCTGCTATACAAATGGTCTCTCCCCAGAACCAGGCATTCAGCTTACAGAAGGCACTAGTTGAAAACCAAGGTTAGGATTTACCACACAGGCCCTACCACCCAAGAGAATAAGAGAGCCAGTCAAAAGCAATTCATACCAATTAGTTCCCAAAAAACATCCGATATAACCAAGGGAGATCCCAGCTAACGGCTGAGGATTTTCACTATTAAAGGGAAACGGGAAAGACGCAGGGGAGGAGAAACAATCCCACCCGCCAGACTGCATGCTCCCTGAGCACTCTGCAGTGTGCATGGTCACATTTACCTGGTAACACCCTCAAAGATGAATTCACCCCGTTTCATAGATGAGGCCACGGGAGGCAGGCCCAGGCCCCACACCTGGTCCATGGTCTAGGGCTGCATCAGCTTTTTCTCCTATACCACTCGGCTCAGCTCCACACTACCTGCTGCCTGAGCATCAAGCTCTCCACAACTGACCAAAACTGCAGGGATCACTGTCTGATGACAGTTTTTCAAATCTTCACCATCTAGAGCAGAAGCTTGATATTACAAAAAAGGAAGCAGATACTTTACCTCAGTGTCCTCTACTTCATTTTCTTCAGAAAGGTTGGGTATTTCAATCAATCCTTTGTGCTTCGCACCAGATTCTTTAATTATACCTAAAATGAGCAAAACGTGTTCTTCAGTTACAAAGTAACAATTACAGCTAGCGACAGACAAGGAGGCTTTCCCTCCGCACAGGTGCCAACCCTCGGCCTGTTTTCCGGAGCCACAGACAGGTAAGCAACCAGGACCCGGCCAGCGAGCGAGCACACGGAATCAGGCCGGGGGAAGCGTGGGGTTGGAGTAAGTGGTTTTGTAACCAATGTTTCTTCTTCATCCCCAATAGCCTCTACCACATCAAGGCAGGATAAAGGGCCATCCTGATGAGTCACAGAAGAGATGGAAGGACAGAAAGGGACAGGGAGTCCTGATCGTGGAAAGAGTGGGAGGGGAGAGGGTGTGGCTTGGAAAGTTCCATGTGGACTGCCTGCAGACGGGTTTCTTCAACACCAGAGTGATTTCAGTGACCATATCAAGGTGACAACATAATCATTCCCAAGTTCAGTGCCCTCACAAAATGGCCAACCAGCAGCTCCCCAGACAAGACACCCTGAAAACCCAGAACCCACAGGCGAGGCTGGAACCTCCTCCTGGACCAGAGGCAGAGAGGACTGCACGAGAGGCTAAGAGGAGCAGTGACACTGACCGAACACCCTCCCCCCAGGCCGCACAGCCCCAGGGAGAGGTTCCCAGAGGGAGACAGAGCACCAGGTGCACATGAGGGTCCTCCAGAACGGGGGGTGCTTCCTGGGAGACTGCCCGGGCCTTCCCACCGGGAGTCAGGCATAGGGGCAGGGCTTTCAGCAACCAGCACTCAGATCTTATCTTTTTCCCAATTGCAGCTTACATTCAGTGACTATGAGGCATTAGTTTCAAATGTACAACAGAGTGGTTAGACAATCATGTACTTTGCAGCACCAAGATCTTGGTGGACGGCACTCCTGCCTGCAGCAGCGCATAAGCACAGATCCCAGACAGGGACAGCCCACCGCAGGGCCTGATCTAGATGCCCAGGCAATGGCCGAAGCCAGCTGTGGGCACGTTCCATTGCCCCACCAGGCAGGAGAGCACACCCGCAGCCCTGCTCAGCTGCTCGGCAGAGCTCCAGTCCCACCCATCCAGGAAGCCTGACCGGGATGGGCAGCCACGGGACCATCTGCAGCCTCTCCCAGCCAGCACCTGTCCCGCTGCTGAGCACAGCCTGGGTCCTGCGCAGTGAGGGAGCCTGCACAGTGACCTAAGAGCCGTAGAGCCTGCCTGCAGCCCTGCCCGAAGGCAGCACAGAGCTTGAGGCCGCATCCGACAGGGACCTCCACCCAACTGCAGAGCACAGTCTTAGCCCCACCCAATGGCCGGAGGCTGCTCCACAGCAGGGCATAGCCAGTGGCCTGCTGGCCCACCTGGCACAAAGGCAACCTGCACACCTGTGTGTGTGCCACCTGATCACAGCACAGCCCGAGCCCAGGTCCAACCCCAAAGCCCTGCTGACAGAATACCAGCTGATCAAGAAGCAATATCCGAGGCCCCAGGAGCAGCCGTGGAGCTAGCCCACAGGCCTCCCAACATCCAGTCCGCCCAGTGACAGTGCCCAGCCTGACTAGAGGCAACTGCAGAGCCAGCTAGTGGCCCCGCTTGAACGTGGAGCCCAGCCATCAGCAAGCAACTCCTCAAAGCACACATAGCGGCCCCACCCAACCAGAGACCCTGACAACAAACTCCAAGAGACCATGGACACCACTGGCTGACCCACCCAGTTCCCAAGATAAGCTGAAAGATGGTCTTGTCTTACTGACACAACCCTATAAAGTCTGTAAGAGGAGACCACTTATATGTACAGATACCAATGCAAAGTAAGGCTCATAAAGAGCCTTAGGCAACTAATAAAGCTCCAATAAATGCCACTAAATAGAGATCTGCCTGGCCAGTGTTGCTCAGTGGTTGAACATCGGCCCATGAACCAGGAAGTCAAGGTTTGATTCCCAGGTTATGGGCTCCATCCCCACTAGGCAGGGCTGGAGAGAGGGGAGAGAGGGGGGCAGCCAATCTCTGTTTCTCTCATTGATGTTTCTGTCTATCTCACTCCCTCTCTCTAAAATCAATTTTAAAAAAAAAGAAACGGAGATCTATAAACAATGTGACCAGGAATTCAGAATAAACCTCCTAAAGCTTAGTCAGCTACAAGAACACACAGACAACTCAGCTAAGCTAGGAAAACAATGCATGGACAAAACGAGAAGTTGAACAAGAAAATAGAAACCATCAAAAATAAATTTAAAAAACAAATCCTAGAGCTATAGAGTACAATTACTGCACTCAAGAATTAAATAGCTTCAGTCCTAGCTGGTTTGGCTCAGTGGATAGAGCGTCAACCTGCGGACTGTAGGGTCCCAGGTTCAATTCCAGTCGGGGACACATGCCTGGGTTGCGGGCTTGATCCCCAAGAGGGGAATGTGGGAAGCAGCCCATCAGTGATTCTCTCTCATCACTGATGTTTCTCTCTCTCCCTCTAACTTCTCACTCTCCCTTCCTCTCTGAAATCAATAAAGATATATTTTTAAGAAGAGCCGAAACCGGTTTGGCTCAGTGGATAGAGCGTCAGCCTGCGGACTGAAAAGTCCCGGGTTCAATTCCGGTCAAGGGCATGTATCTTGGTTGCGGGCACATCCCCAGTGGGGGTGGCAGGAGGCAGCTGATTGATGATTCTCTCTCATTTTTTTTTATTAAATTATTATCTGTGTACATATTTTAACATTGCCCCCCCTCCCATACATACCCTCCCTCCTCAGAGTTTTATGTCCATTGGTTGTACTTATATGCATGTATACAAGTCCTTCGGTTGATCTATTATCTCCCCCAGATCTCCCTACCCTCCCCGCTGTAATTTGACAGTCTGCTTGTTGCTTTACTGTCTCTATCTTTTGGTTCATCAGTTTATAATGTTCTTTATTGATGATTCTCTCTCATTGATGTTTCTAACTCTCTATCCCTCTCTCTTCCGCTCTGTAAAAAATCAATAAAATATTTTTAAAAGAAAAATATTAAATAGCTTCAATAGCTAACTCGAGGAAGCAGAATTAGTGAGCTAGAAGATAAGTCATTTGAAATTATCCGGTCCTAGAAACAAAAGAGAAAACAGGAGAGTGAAGGAAGCCGACAGGACTTATGGACGCCATTTAAAAGAAACAAATACACATAATGAGGAGCCCACAAGGAGAAGAGACAGAAAAAGGGACAGAAAGTCGATTTAGAACAATAATGGTCAAAAACTTCCCAAAACTGGTAAGAGAAGTGGACACCCAGATTCATGAGGTGCAAAGGACCCAAACTGCTGACCCAAAAAAGGGCAGCACCAAGACACACTTAAACTGTCAAAAATTAGATAGAATTTTCAAAGCAGCAAGGGAACAGTGACTCATCACATACAAGGGCAATTAAGCAAAAACCTGACAGGCCAGGAGTCAGACTACACATTCAAAATATTAAAAGAAAAGACTACCAGGGCTTCTGGTCAGACAGCAGCCAGGAAACAGTACTGACACCTTCCCACAACCACATCAAAATGACAACTAAACTACAGAACCACCATTCAGAACCACCGGAATCTAGTGAGCAGTGGTCTTACAACTGCGGATGGAAGGAAGCCGGGTGGGAGGACCGATCGGGACAGGCTGGCCCACACCTGCATGTGGTGGATAACAATCGGGAAGAGTTTCTTGGCTGCGGAGAGTCCCCATTAGAAACGGGACCCCAGCCCGCAGCAGGCCGCCCAGCCCAGGGTTCCAGCACCAGGAAAAAAACTGCCAGAACCCGCGGCTGTAAAACCCAGCAGGGTGACTGAGGGCGGCTGCGGCTGGAAGTCCAGGCGCTTCTCTCCAGAGCCTGCCTGCGTTCAGCCGGACTCGGACTCACTGGCTCTGAGCTCCAGCACTGGGGCAGCAGCTCAAAAGGCACCAGTGACATACGGGGAGGAAATGAATTGCTAGGCTTCAGGGCAAGAGCTGAGGGGCAGTTTTCTCCAGACTAAGAGCTGGCAGAGGACACCTCCCCCCACAGAGCCGGCAGGCGGGTGCCATATCCGAGTCTCCACCACCTGGCTACACTGTCCACTCCTCCGTGGTGATTCCAAGACCCTGTCCCACTCAAGACAAAATAAACGAACAAGCAGAACAGAAACAGACTCATAGATACAGAGAACATTTTGATAGTTGCCAGATGGGAGGGGACTAGAGGTATGGGTGAAAAAGGTGAAGGGATTAAAAAATACCAATTAATAGTTACAGATAGTCACAGGGATGTAAAGTACAGCATAGGCAACATAGTCAATAATATTGTAATAACTATGTGTGCTGTCAGATGGATATGAGATTTATCAGGATTTATCACTTAGTAAGTTATATAATGTACAATCACTGGGTTGTATACCTAACACTAATATAATATTGTATGTCAACTGCAATTGAAAAATAAAAAAAATATTTAAAGTCCTAGAAACCCCCCCCCCAAAAAAAAACACACACACAAAAAAAAACACAGGAAAGACTGTTAAGCAGGAATATCATACCAGCAACATCAATAACCTAAAATGTGAGGAGTATAAATTTCTGTATGCTACTGAAGTTAAGTTGTTACCAGTGTAAATAGGATCTTTTATGTAAGCCTCAAAGTAATCACAAAGACATACCTATAGCTGATACACAAAAGATTATGAAAAGGAGTCTAAGCATACCCACAAAGAGCCATCCAATCACCAAGGAAGATGCCAGGAGAGGAAGTAAGGAACATGGGAACTACAAAACACTCAGAAAAACAATCAACAAAATGGCAATAGTAAGTCCTCATCTATCAGTAATTATTTTAAACAAATGATTAAATTCTCCAATCAAAAGACACATACTGGCTAAATGCGTTAAAAAGTACCAAGATCTAGCAATATGCTGCCCGTACAAGACTCACTTTACCTTTGAGGACACACATGAACTAAGAGTGATGGGATGGAAAAAGATATCAAGCAAATGGTGACAAAAAAAACAAAAACAAAAACATGAGCAGCTACATT